TGCCGAAGTTAAACTTCATTGAAACTTTTCGAAAAAAAAGTTTCCCATATGGTGCGCACTTTAATGGTGACACTGTAGATGTCGCAAAATTGTATATCTCAAGAACGGTTGGACCGATTTTCAAGATTTTCGATTTGTTGGATTTGTTTCTCTCTGAAATAGTAGAATGCTCATTAAAACATTCGAGAAATTGAGAAAAAATATATAAAACAATGTCGCATAGTTCGCCGGGTCGGCTAGTATTGCATAATGAAAATATTTCTTTTTTGATTCAAACGGAGTTTTTAGATTTCTGTTGAACCATAAGAAAAATGCATTACAAGAAGTTGATCAAAAATCATTCATCTGAATGAATATTGAATAATTTCAATTCTGTTGAATATTGTTGATATCAAATATGAGGACACTTCAATCATACTGTTGAATCAGAATATTTGGTATACCTCAATCATGTATTATATCCACGAATGGGCTGAGTATGGATTACCATTTCTTCTGTTTCAGGTGGGACTACTTCCTTAGACCATTTTCCAGTTTGCCGAAGCCTTTTTATGCCAGCAATTTTGTAGGTGAGGAAAATGCTAAAACATCCCATGAAAGTCGGCACCAATTGACTCTTTACTTAAAAAAAAACACCTTTTTCCTCCCAAGAATATAGCAAAAATGTACAAATTTTAAGTTTCACAGAGACCTGAACTTTATAACATTAACGCGTGAACTTTACTTACATGAGCTGTTCCAATATACTTTACGTCTATGTTTACTGCCAGTTGCGTAACTATACCATCTGAGGCCTGTAGCAAATTCATTGGCTGGGGCCCCTATAAAAATAATCACATTGTATATCATTTTTAATAAATCACAGAGAATATCTAATTTTCAAAAGCATAGGTATCACAATTTTATGATAAAATAATTGTTCAATTGTCATTAACAGGTTTTGTGTCTTTGTCGTACCTGTCAACTTTCGTTGTGACTCAGTACTTCAAGTATCGCTGTCCTTTGAATACTCAAATTATTCTGAGATAGCTTGCGACCTCCTCAAGGCCGTCGCTGGTGTTCGAATTTTCACATTTTTTAAGATATGACCTTCTTCTCGGTTCGTCACAAATCCTCCGTTATCGGGGAAGATATAACGACTTTGAATATGTGCTTATCGATTCTTGGATGACCTCTCATAAACGTTGTGCCTGGAGATATTTCCTACTTCTTGACTTTTCTTTAAATTGCAATCCAAAATAACGACAAATATCTACCTCGGCATGGTTGGCTAAAACTAAAATTGCGAATTTCAATAACTAACAAACAACCCTTTATATGTCATAAAAAATCGCGAAATTTAGATACTGATATAAGGATAACAATTACATGCTCATGCCCGATATTGACACAGCACAGTATTTTGATCAAAAACTAATATTTTCGTTGGAAATTATGAAAATATTAGGTACGTGTAAAATCAGCCTTGAAACAAGGAGTCCTGTGTAATACAAAAATTTATGAAAAGGAATAATACGAATGTTTGTTGTGTTAGAGTATCTTTTTATCGAAATCATTAGGTCAAGTATGCCAATAGTTGGATACGTTTTGAAGCAATCAAAACAATTCACAATCGGTAGGAACATAATCAAAAATTATTGTCACTGATGATGCCAGTTATTTTAAATAATATGATATATAAATGAGGAGTGTTTTACGTCNGGCGGGGGGGACTTTGCAGAAATGCACTGTATACGTTTTTGATTCAAATTACATGATTTTCATTTTCAGAATTTCAAAAGTGACGATTTTCGGAATACTGAGGATGTTACCAGAATTTCCATTTCCGAAATAGATAAAGTTTTTGAAATAATTGAATGGAAAACTTTCTTTGAAGAGCTGACATCCAAAACGCTTAGCGGCAATGAGACGATAGAAGTACATAATTTCGAGTATTTAAAGAGAGTTTTTGTTCACCTGAAGAATTATGATGAAAGGTGAGTGGAAGTTGTTTGTGAGGAAATCAGACTTAAAATATAGGAAAAGCATATGAAATATATTACGTTTTGTGTCAACTGATCTGATTTGGCAGTTATATTCAGAGCCGATGTTGTGAAAAAACTGAATTCAATAAAATGACTATCAATCATTTGTATTCATTACATTCGAAATTTCTTTCACTCATTGACAGTAATAATATATTTTTAGAGGCCTTGTGGAACTACTGCAGGAATTCTCAAGCTTCCAACTATATACATATTTATATCGTAAACACGATAATAAGAAACACTTCTGTATGGATCTATCAAAGAATCTATTGCCTGACGTCGCAACGATGATTATGAATGAAATAAAAAATTCAAGCTCAACCAATATCTCGATCGTTTATGCTGAGCAAGTATTCGATGAAATGAAAAATTCCATAAATCATATTCTTGATGAATCTCTCATTGACGAGGATTTGAAGAGATTTTTCAAACTAGAACTGATTAAGTTGGAACTTGCTATGACACTATCCGGTAACAATAACACAAAGGAAGATAATGATTTGGATGTGGTTATCAATGGGGACTATAGAAATAATATTCTGACACTTTTCAAAAACTATAGAAGAAAGTTATTTTCTTTGGGAAATACTGGGATTCCACTGAACACATCGTAAGTTTTTGAATATTGTAACGAATTAAAGAATTAATTGACTTGAACAAATTTATTTTTACCAATATTTCACTATACAACACTTAGCAACTAACGCTTAATTTATCTTCACAGTTCGAATTCTTTGTTAACCGTCCGATTCGCTTACCGTGACTTTTGCTTTTCTGATATACAGTGTCACCATCAAAGTGCGCACCATATGGGAAACTTTTTTTTCGAAAAGTTTCAATGGAGTTCAACTTCGGCACTTGTTTGTGCTTTGAATTTAACTTAAAATGATGCGGCCAACTGCGACCCACTGACGTTCAGTGTTTGTCAAATTCAACTNATGATCGATAGCGAGGCTAGAGCGATGCGTTACGTCACAGCCTTCACTGCAACGAGAGAGGTGAGGGCACACCGATGAATACGTATTACTCAGCCACACGTCGTGGAGTGAACATCTTGCTCTCTTACCGTTAAACGGTTGTTGCTGTGACGTCACACCGCTACTAACTTGGTGGGCTCACACCGATGAAACATTCATTACTTGAAGGATCTTCGAAGTATGCAGACGTATGTTTGTACATAGACAAGCACATGATGAAACCATGTACCGTGCATTCCCACACACACAAACACACTCACACACACACACCAATCAAATGTAAATACGTCACTATGTCACACACACACACAAAATCTCATATGAAAAAAATTCTGAACGATCCATGCACCAGACCCTCCAAGGTCACATCGCCTTCATGTTACTAAACAACAACAAAAAAAGCAATTAATACGTCATAGTGGTGGGGGGAGGCCCAGAACCGGCTATAATCTGCTATTGTCTATATTCATGAATTAAAAAACTCTAATTGTGTCGATATCTATATGATATCGATAGACGTATCGAGTTTTCTGATAGTATAACTGAACGGATCAACTTGCATAAGAATTTCTTGTATAAACTCTGTTTTTCGGATGAATGTTCGCTTAGTTTGAATGGAGAGGTGAATCAGCAAAATTGTTGAAATTGGAGTGATTCGAATCCTCATTTATACCGTCAAGTTCATACCCAACGACCTCAAAAACTGAATATTTGGGCAGAAAGTTCAGGTGACCACATCATAGGGCCTTTTTTTATCGATGATAAATATTTGGATATGTTGAAGAATCGACTGATACCGTGCATCAATAGGGCAATTGAGGAGGATATAAATTTATTTGTAGAAGAAATAGTTTTCCAGTAGGATGGTGCACCTCCACATTATGCATCTCCAGTGCGGCAATTTTTGGATGATCATTTTCCTGGTCGCTGAATTGGCAGAAGATATCCTATAGAATGGCCACCAAGGTCTCCGGATCTCACTCCTGTGGATTTATTTCTATGTGCATTATGTTTATTTCTAAGTGCATGAGATAGAATCAACAACACGAGAAGATTTGAGAGAGAATATCACGAGGCTTTGTAGAGCAATAACTCCCGAGATTCTCAACCATGTGAAGGCGGTAATGGAAGCTCGTTGTATGGAAGTTGGTGAAAACGTTTTTGAACATTTACTATAAACAATTTTTTTCTTCTCATTATTAAGTCATTAGATTTTGAGGCAAGAATTAATAACAAATCTCTTTTTCTGATTTATTGCTACCATATTTGTGTCTAGAACGAATATGTCAAAATCTGTTCCTCTATATACTATCGTTGACGTGTTTTTTTAATTTTCCTGAAAATCTTTGTACCAAAAGTTATTCGTTCCAAATGGAATGCGCTGTATAAGATTGAATTTATATTAAATATATTCTCATTCAGGTCTCTTTATTTTTTTTCTTGAGAAGTTTCAGACTGAAGTATGAGTTCAATGAAAAGTTCTTCCCTAAAAGTTTATATTACTGCGTAATATAAACTACTGGAAGTCCAAATTTATATAAATAAAAATTATTGTGATATGTGTATTATAATAATTCAATTTTGAATTAACTGTGCCAATAATTTGATTTATTTTACAGCATATCTTAGGAGAACTACTTGAGTTATTGAAGGTGAGTGAATTCTTTAGGTTGTTAATGATGATTTTAGATGATTAGGAAAACTAACTTTGTTGTTGATGAATCGTTTCGACTGATTTGCCATCGCAGATCAGCCTTACTGATCCGAATAATCGGTTGCAATTAGTGTGGTTCACATGTACTCGATTTAGCTCTTTTTGGTGACATTTTTCAGCTCTGTAAAAAATTACGACCAAGGTGTCATTCGATTCGTATTTTTGGCAAGAAAGTTTAAGATAAAAAAAATACGGTCGGAAATGTTAATAGTGGATCTAGAACGGTTTGGTGTTGGGAGAAAACTCCAGTAATATGAGGTAACACTCCTGCAAAATAATTCCATATTTTTAATACATCCTAGCTTACGGCCAAAAAATTTTTAAAAATCATTTTCATAAATTAGTACATTTTGTCATTGATACATTTTGTCAAAAACTAATAATCAATAATAATTATTGTTACTGTATTCAATTCTAATTCAACAATTAAATAGAACTGGCCGATACTAGATGAAAATCCATATAAACTAAGTTATGCATGAAGAAGCTATTGTATAACGAAACACGTGTCGCGGTTTTTAATTAGTTTTTTAATTCTAATTCATCCCTAATTTTAGACACCATGATATGCATATATTAGTGTATCGAATTACACCTTCAATTTGATAATTCCATTGTGTGGATACTGTGGTGGATTTTTTTGTTCGTATCCCGAATATATAAATAAAAATAAATGATAACTCAATGGCGGCCATTTTGAGCATTTATTGGGGAGTATATAATAGTTTTAGATTCAGTTCGACTTCCATAAATAAAACTTTCTGAAAGCTTTTTGAGTCGCCCTTTATATTGGAAATACTGAAAAAACACTTCAAACTATCCTACCTAACCTAGTGTTTCAATTTTTTTCTTGCAAAAAACAGGAGAAGGTTATTATAATGGTTAAAACCCGTCGTTTAGCCTTTATAATCGATGAAAGAAACTTTTTAGCCAAAACATCAAATATAAATAATATTTATCTAAGCTATATGTGAGAAATCTTTTATTCATACAAGCATTTTTGTAGAAACCTATAGCTTTAAAAGTAGTCCGACTCTGTCGCAATACCATCACTCTCAGAACTAAGTGTTTCTTAATAGTTTTATAGGGATAACATAGTAGCTAAAATATGTTGAAGTGCTTGCTACTGATACCAATTCATTTCATAGAACGACGCCATTTTAAATGATCAAACCACATTACTATTTTCTATTGATGATGAAGGTGAGATTTAGACTGAAGAATACGATTATCCAAATGAGTTTTTTAAGAGATTGGAAAATAGAGGGAGGGAACTGAGAATATATCAGTCGTATATTTCAATATAAGGAGTATTAGACTTTTTTTTGATGAATTATATATGTATATCTTCAGAATATAAAAAATACAGATGTCATCATTCTGTCCGAAACGTATAATATAAATAAGGTGACTATGACATTCATGGCTGTACATCTTATTGAAGTGAATCTGAAATTAATCAGAACGATGGACTAATTGTGTATGTAAAAAACATGTGGAATTCAACAATTGTAACGATTTGCTTGACAGAAACAAAATCAATTAGAATCAATTAGAAAATTTGTAAACACCAAAAATGGAATAACTGCTTCATATATGCCACCTTCAATAAACATAAACACAAACCTACAAATGAAGAAACATTCAATAAACTAAAAGAAATCATTAATATAAACTCAACAAAGATAACGAGAGAAATAAAATCAATGAATGAAACTAAAGATCAGAAACTAAAGAATTTTCAAGAAGAATATCAGAAGACTGAAGAACTAGCAAACAAAAGAAATAACAGCCATTTTTGGGATACGAACAGAAAAAAAATCTATCAGAAACCACACTCACACAGCTCNTGAATTTTGAGTTCTCTAGAAGTTTTCATGTTTCATTGAAGTATTATTGATTTTGATATTTTTTTCAGTGATGCACCCTTCACTTTTTGACAGAATACCTCTGGTTCAACCCCACTTCATAGTAGTAGCAAAACTAGGCATGCTACTAGCCCGAGAGATATTGAAACACATTGATCGTGCAAATAGACTTTTTAGATCAAACGACAACAAATTTGAATCAGATACTCAGTCGAATATTTTCTACCCGAAGAACATACTGAACATTGACGAACTCCATAATAACTTTTACTCGAAATCTCCTTATAGATTTCATGAAACAGCAATTGATGTTGAGGTGAGTTGAATTTCCGAATATATATTATTTAAGATAAAATAATTAACCAAATGGTGTATTGAAATGCGCACTATATGGGACACTTTTTTTTCGAAAAGTTTCAATGAAGTTCAACTTCGGCACTTGTTTGTGGTCCAAATTTAACTTAAAATGATGCGTCCAATTGCGACCCCGCGACCCTGCGACGTTCAGTGTTTGTTAAATCCAACTTAACTTTTCTGATACATTTTTACTTATACGGACATTTTTAGAGAGAAATTAAAAATTTGCTGAAAAATTTTAACATGACTGGTGCAAAGTTTCAATCACTTGGCTATTTTCTTAAACGAACGTCAGTACCTTCAATTTTGAAAAAGCAGACACAACTCAAAAACTGAAATAAATATTAATGAAATTACATTGAAATTTCAATATTCAGTACTTGCAGATTATTTATAAACACTAACTAGAGCGATAAGGATGCTTAATCACGTTGAATGAAGTTTTTAAGTAGGTCTTGATAAACAAAATGCATGCTATGGTAGTGTCAAGTTGTTGATTTACTTGTCAAATTTTTAGCAGCTATAATAGCTGCTTGTTGCTTGTTGCTTGTTGTTGCTTGTTGCAATAATGTTGTCCCTACAGGAAAGAATCGAAATAGTTTTAATATGTGGTGAGAATACACCATACCGGCAAGTAGCTAATATTTTTAATGATCGGTATCCAGGAAAAAAAGTTCAACATACTACTGTGTCAAGGATAATGTCGAAATTCAGAGAAACAGGATCCGTAGCAAATCAATTTAAGAAAAAGCACTCATTCGCGAGTGCTGTGCAAATATAAATCCCCGATTTATTGAAAATGCAGTTGCAGATGTCAGTAGAAGGACCATTATTTGTATTGAACGTGGAGGACGACATACTGAAATGTAGGCTATAAATGTTTGACAACTTCATTCAGATCAATAAGTATTTTATCGAAATTTTTTGCATTCTTTTTAGTTGCCTCTTCTTTTTCGAAATCAAAGGTTTGTTTAAGAAAATAGTCAAATGATTGAAACTTTGCACCAGTCATGTTAAAATTTGTATAGCAAATTTTTAATTTCTCTCTAAAAATGTCAGTATAAGTAACCTTCGATGTAGTAATGAATAATACTGAAGTTTTTTCCTAACACCAGATCGTTATTTTTAACACCTCGACACGTGTTTCGATCACCAAGTGGTCATCTTCAAGAGAAAGATCAAATTGATCTTCTTCCTCCCCTTCTGGAAGATCAAACTAATCTTCCTCCTCCTCTTGAGGAAGCTCAAACTGATCTTCATCTTGAAGATGATCACCTGGAGATCGAAACACGTGTCGAGGTGTTAAAATAACGGTTTGATGTTGGGAAAAACTTCAGTAATATTCATTTGAATTTTAGTCTGATAGGATTTTATTATGTAGCGAGTTTTCCATAGCGGTGTCATTTGTTCAAGTTAACTATTTTATCGTGTATCGCAAGGTATCTGAGATATGGATTGCTAAATTTCGTACATTATGAATCATTTTTCATTTCGAAGTGTATGCTTCATAGAATAGTCTAGCTTCATATCCTCAATGAAGCTAGACTTAAGATGAGTTTTTTTTCAAGCAAATATAGAAAAATCCCCAAAATTCAAACGGCAATAGAACTTATATATGAATGAATGATTGATTGGATATGAAAAAACATTAAACATTTTTTTATTCACAGATTTTGAACGTAACAATCTTCACTAACGAAATGATTGCGGATATTACTGCTTTCCGGATGGTTACTGATTATTTTCAAAGAATTACTACACCTGAAAATATGCCTTGGATTTCAAGTGACATTACCCAGGAGCAAGTTTTCATCATTGCTGCTGCTCAAGGTGAGCGTAATATTTTTAGTGTTTAATAAAAAATTGACAACAAATCATCATCAGTATTCCAACGTAACAATGGTACCTAGGTTTTTGATCAAATATAATTCGTAACTACATCATAAATGTTATGTCAAAGATATTTTCCGAGTTTTTTGGTCGTGATCTGCAGGTTTCATGACTGACGTTTCGTCTACTACTGCGGGAGACATTTTCAAAGGTGATTTGATAACGGTCGAAGTACTTGAGCTTCGTTTCTCATAACCCTTATGATCTAGTGATTGTTTTCCAACTGTTAGTCATCATTTTACAAGGTTCCCTTGAGCAATATAACAGTTGGACTGAAAACTTCGTTTATCATGAAAAATTATAATATTTGATTTTATTATTCAATAAAATTATCTCAAGAGGTGATACTACGATTATAGTGGTTATATAACTTTTCGATATCATTCATATAGTACGTTTCGTCTTTAACCTCAAAATAATTCTCATTTTCGACTATTACTTTTTCATCGACTCTCGATTTCTTTTCAGCGAGCATTCTCTCTAGGTCTAAGAATAGGAAAAGATCACTGGGAGGCAGATCTGAAGAATACGATGAACGGGAAAATAATTCGAAGCCCAATTCATGAATTCAACTCATTGATATGTGACACGGTACATTGTCTTTATTGAACAACTTTTTTTTCTTCAAATGAGACCATTTTCCGTGATTCCGTCCTTCAAACGCTGTTAATGAGTTTTCCCTTCTCAAGATATTTTATGGATATTATAATGAGTCATTTTTTGCTGGTATCTGTTTAGCAACACTGACGCCAGATCACGCGTGAATCGTGTCTTGTGTCATTGTCAAACTTGTTCAGTTTGTTCTATACTTCAACCATGGATCGACTAACGAATGAACAACGCTTGCAAATTATTGAATTTCATTATTAAAATTCATGCTCGTTGAAGAAAGTGCATCGTGCACTCCTTTCAATTTATGTGCAGTTTCGTCGGCCTACTGAAGGACTTATTCGGAAGCTTGTGACTAAATTTCGAACCCAGTTTACATTATTGGACATTAAACCACCAACACGCATACGTAGAGTGAGGAACGAAGAAAATATTGGCTGTATTCGCCAGTGTTCGTGATGACCGTGAAATGTCGATTCGCCGCCGTTCGCAGCAATTGGGCCTCTGTTACTCCACTACGTGCAACATTTTGCGATAGGATTTAAGTGAAAAACCTGGTGCAAGAATTGAAGACACACGACCTTCTACAACGTCTAACGTTTGGTGAATGGGCGCTGACAAAGTTGGAGAAAGATCCACATTTTTATCGAAAAATTGTGTTCAGCGACGAGGCTCATTTCTGGTTGGATTGATACGTTAACAAGCAAAATTGCCGCATTTGTAGTGAAAGCCAGCCAACATCGGGCCGTTCTTCTTCAAATACGACCATGGCCAAAACATTACTGTGAATGACGAGCGCTGCCGTATGATGATTGATGACTTTTGTTGCTCAAAATGGAAAAATTTGACATGTCTGACATGTGGTTTCAACAAGACGGTGCCACATGCTACACGGCACGCGAAACAATGGCCCAATTAAGAGTCGCCTTCGGTGAACAGTTTCTTTCACGCTTGGGGCCTGTCAATTGGCTGCCTAGATCATGTGATTTAACGCCTTTGGATTATTCCTTGTGGGGTCATGTTAAGGCTCATGTCCACAGGGATAAACCAGCAACGACTGATGCTCTGGAAGCCAATTTTGGAGCATTTATCCGTGAAATACCGGTTGATATGTTAGAGAGAGTGTGCCAAAATTGGACCTTGCGCATCTAAAGCGGAGCCGCGAAGAATGTTTGCATGAAATCATCTCCAAACATTAAATTATATTGATAGTTCTATGGATTCCAATGAAGATTTCATCAATTTTTTCAAATATTTTGTGTTGTTTTGAAAATCAAATCATATACCTCTCAAAATTGCACCCGTTACCATGTGCATCCCAAAATATTGATACCTCAACTTTGCCAGCCAACTGTTGCATCTTTGCTAGCTTAGGAGTCGGCTCACCATATGCAGTCCACTCAGAAGACGGTCGTTTTGATATTGGTATCAAATGATGGAGCTATGTTTCATCTATTGTCACATATTGATGCATTGATACGGGTTTTCTATGGTGGAACAGCTTCAAACTCTGCTCAGAAATATAAATGCATTGTTGTTTTTGTGAGCTCGCTGAGCACCCACGTTGAACAGAGCTTTGGCATATTCAACCATTCATGCACATATGTCTTACATATTTTTCCGATATCTCGGGGGCCTCAGCTATCTCAATAAATTTCAGTTTCAGGTCATCCAGAATTATATTGTGTTTTAAGTAAGCAAACTTCTCAACGGTTGATTTTTCTGATCCGAATAATTTTCAACAAGCGAAGCCTCAGCTTCAACAGTAGTTTTTCCTCTCATAAGATGTTTTATCAGCTCCATGTTATCGATGATACCATCAGAGCAACGGATTGAGGACTCAGTACTATACTCATTCTATTAGATTCCAGTGTAGCATTTGATATTCTCAATTACTCTTTGATTTTGCTCAGTTTGAACTAGCTGGTCTGGTTTAATTGTTTTTTCAGGGTTTTCAAATCAATTTATATTATATTAGACAATGGAAGTCCAAACTGATGAAATACACCACGAAACATTGTCAACCACCTTCAAATAAATATCTGGTCTCTCACCAGATGCTGTGCAGTTGATTGAAAAGCACCTGGAGCATAGATTCCAAAGTGTTTTAACTGATAAAACGCAACCTGTTTATTCATTTTCAAAATCTGAAGTTCCTCAAAGATCTATACCTGGACTACTGTTGTTTGCGGTATAATAAAGTAACAATCATTGTTATGCAGATGGTACTCGGGTATTTATTTCTCTTTTTTTTTCAGAAACTGATATCGCTTGTAGTAAAATTGATAGAGAACTGATATATCAAGAATACTCAAGATCTCTGCTTGATGATGAGTTTTTCTGAATCACAACCATCCTTCCTGGCACAAAAAATGAACTCAGAGACGTCCTCAACATCACGAATGTAGTTAGTGATGAAACCATAGAAACATGTCAATAAAAAAAGCTTACTCCTCCAAACGTGTAACACATAAAATGCGGCATTTTCTACCGGCAAAGCTCATAGTTATATTTTGTGTTGTCAAATTTCAATGACGCAAACGCTGTTTATGGACCCAAAATAACTTATCACTATTAACGTAAAATTCAAAAAGTTCCAACTTCATGTTCACGTCTAATATATGGACTAAGAAGACGCGAAAGAATTTCCCATATCTTGAAAGAAGTTGGTTGGCTGAACAAGGAAAATGAACTTCACCTTGTAGCTGCCTTTTTAATAGAAGAGTAATTATATCGAAAGATAATCTTTGTTTTCGTCATCTTTTAAAAGCGACTACTTCAACAGATTTTGAAGTTATCAAATTTGCAAAATTTACAACAGCATACCATCCGATTTCAAAATGATGAGTTTCCAGGGTTTCAAGACTCAGTTCAAACAATAGTTATTTAACTGAATTGATTGGGTTATATTTTTAGGAGTGATTAATTTTTTGGGAAAGAAAGTTTTTGGCATTCTACTACTCCATCTGATACAAAAAAAGGGATGAGAGAATCTTCCAAAGAAAGGAAGGAAGTAATCAATTATGAATGAAATGATGAATGAAAAATGAATGTGTAGATCATGCAAAGAAGTAACTTTCAGACACAAACTGAAAGAAAGTTCTCCTGAAACAGCTACTTTCATATAAACATTGAATTACACGAAATAATTCTTTCGAAACAAATACTTCTATATGAACACTGAATTATACAGAAGATACTTTTCTCTACTCAGTTTGTATAAGCATGTAATGCATAATTATTATTATCAATTGATCAATGATTTGCAAAATGTATTATTCATCTAAATACTTTCAAATTCGTCTCCTTCTGAATTGATACACTTACGCCAATCTTTAAAACATTATTCAAATGCAGGTTTTTAGTTCGACTTCAATATTCGCTGCGAATTCTCCTTTTCGTCATCTATCGTTATGTATTTGTTTCGACCAGAACCTCGTCCACAATGATAGTCTTATGAAATGATGCGCGGTATCATGGTGCAAAATTTATAAGTTTTCTTCCCACATATCTGATTTTATCGACGGAATTTGCTGTCTTTTTGTGTCACCTCCTGGTAAGAATTCCAGGTGCACAACATTGCGGTGTAAAAAAAAAACTGTCAATATAATCTCCAATTATGAACGACTTTGACGAGCTTCTTTCTGTTTCAGATCAGTTGGAAGGCTATGTTCTGAAGCTTGTTGACTGGTTTACATATGAAAATAATAATCCCTTATTTCCTCACCACTCGCAATACGTTTTGTGAAAGTGAAATTAGAATTGACTTGGTTTAATACATTTTCAGCGAGTTTTATGCGATTTCATTCTTTCATAAAATTAAAGCTTTTCAACACTAGTTGAGCGGCAATGCCTCCTATGCCTGAAAAATCGTTCAGAATAGTACGAACTGATAACATGAGATGTGGAAATTTCAGCCGCTGTTTCTATTAGACTCAAATGATGAGTTTCAGTCACCATTTCTTTCACTTTAGTTCAGTTTAGTTCACTTTGAGTTCAGTTGAGAATGCTGATAGCCGACCAGAGCGAAACAAACCTTCTATCGTATTTCTGGCCATAATAATCAGTGAATTTGAAATAATTGACATAAATATATCAGTTGGTACGCATTATGAATACACATTTATGAATGAAATATCAAAATTCTTCACAGATCCCAGATCGATGGTGATCGCTCCTTCTTATCGTAAAAAAGAGTCGAATGAAATTCAGTTATTTGAAGAATTTATTTTTATAGTGTCCCCAAAGAATTAGTGATCTCCACATTAATAGAGGTCGATACTGCAAATGGTCTTTCTTTGTGTGTGTGAGGTATAATCGAAATTTTTTAT